AAGCGCGTGCACCGATTGCCGATAAGGCCCTCGAAAGTGGCGTAATAAAACGTGAAACTCCAGAGAGTTTCCTACATGCATCGATAAGGTCGCATCCTAGGCGAGTGCTGTTTAATCATCGAATTAGGTTAATCGAATGGGATTCTAATTAAAACGTATGAGTATTAAAATTAACTGCCTACTAAACTTTTTCAATTAAAACGCCCTACACACTTGTCCGCTTAGTAGAATGAGTCATATATCTTCGAATTAACGACTTTTTAAGTTTTTTTTGACTTTTTTCCGTCGCCATAACGACCGATGCTTCGGTTCGAAAAAGATTGGTTCAAGGGTAAAGGTTGTAATGTAACGGATAAGTAGCAACAACATCTGTCGTCTAATTTAATTTATTGAGTGTCAAAACATTAATGAAGCCGATGATGACTGAACGTAGAGGAATTTCGAACGTTCGACAACGTAAATGTCGTTGGGAGTATGAAGAAACATCTATACTTCCTTTGTGAAATGTTGCCCAATGAAGATTATACAATTTTACTGTTAATATTGCGAAAAACATCCGGTAAATGTTAATAACAATCCGTACTAAAACTCTAGCTTCAACAAATGATTAATTTTTATCCAGTTTTCGAAGGGTATTATCAATTCTTCATCTATATCAATGGAGAGCCTTGACGTATAGATAAAGCCATTTCCCGTTTGTTAGTCATACTGGCTAAATCGCCATCAGTCCCTTTTCGCTCGGCCAAAAGCCGTCCCTCATTTACCATGATAAATCGCCCTCGACGTTTCGAGACAACTGCCCTTCTATTCACCGAATCTCATTTCATTAACTCTCATCAAAGTCCTACACATTAATTCGTTTATGATACGTACTGAATGTGTTTTACACGACAACGCTCTGGTTTGGTTTGTAAACTATACAGGATGGTTATTGGGTATTAAATTTTAAATGCGTTATATTTTAACGCGCTATTCTAAGAAAATCAGCAAGTATAGGTGCAATGGTGATATAAATCACTTATTTCATCGCACTAAAAGCATTTTTATAGTCGTCATGATGATTGATGCGTTAATTTAGTATATTGATTCTTCTTGCTTTAAAAAATTAACTCAAATGAGTTACTCTTGGTTTTGTATTTGTTGTTATTCGATCGTCGATTAAATTGCATTGGTGTTGGGGGTAAATGCGAGGCAAAGCAAACAAATCAATCGTAGATGCATTTCTGTTCGAATGAAAAAAAAAGAGATATCGATCGTTCTAGCTTCCTCAACAAGCTGCAGTTTGTTTAATACCACGCGAAGGGTGTAACTCTATCTAAATGGTCTTCCGCTTAATCGAAATCAATAGAAAAATATCAACACCCCGTCCTTGAACTAAATTCCGCTTTTCCGCCATTATCTCAATTTATATGTTCAATGGCATCATTTTTTTTCGTATAGCTTCCATTAAACCACACTCTTTTTTACGCGTGAAAAATAACCCTTCCGTATACAAGGGCGTTACGGTATATACGTTTTGTACAAATAATTCGAACAAAAACCAACAATTTTCCAGCTGTTTCGCCCTTCTAACGTTACATTACTCTAACGAATTGTTAATTGAATTATTATTTTTATGGCAGACACCAACTATTTTCGGTCATTTAGGGCCCCTATGTCTCCGTAACCAAATTTATTGCCCATGGGTTCGACACGAAATAAGAACGGCTTGATGCCCGGTGACGTTCGTATTTTAATAGGGCAAAGGTTGACGTCATAGGGCGTGTTTGCTGGTTGCTCACCAAGAAAACTATTAGATATTTAACCACATTTTATCATCACGATCGAATCAAATTCGATGATCATTTTGGACAGGATGATTACGTAATTTACATTCTAACAAATGATCCGAATCAACACGTCATCGACGTCCCGTAAACGGAGGATTAATGCAAATATTCGATTGACTAATCATTTACTAAGAGCTCATTAGGTTTCGGAAAAAGCCCCGACGATTTGCATAAAATTCCAGTTACAAATTGCAGGGACGCGGTATCGTTGTTTGCATCTAGATTCCTATCTGTTTGCATTCAGCGAGAGCGAAATAAAAACGCGAAGGAAATAAAATCAGATTTATTAATTGGTAGCTCCTCTGCGCTATAGGAATGGTAAACAAAGATGAAAGATGACACGAATTAATAAGTCGAAAATGTCGTAGGATTACCACTAGTAACACAGAGATTATAAGAAGCAGTAGAAGCTTCAATACATTTACATTTCTAATTTCTTTTTTTCTGTTTCAGGTAAGTGCTGAAGCCAGATAAAAACGTTATTAGCCATGTGGAAATGGATGGTAAGTTTTCGATTACGCAATAACAGGCAAGTGAAAAGCGGTTCTGGTTTAATTAAAATATTCGAGATTCCTCGCGTTGGATAAGCGGGCGTTTCATTGAGTTTTACTCATATCGAGGATGCTGTTTCAGCTAATGCATTAGTCGGGTATCCGAGTGTAAATAACGCGAAGAACAAACTGCTTATTAAATTATTATTAACAACACTTGTGTATGTCAAATCTGAATTTCTTAACTGTTGAAATATAATAGTTCAGTTTTTACGATGCCTTCGTAACTTTCACGATGATGATTTAAAATTTAAACTCAAACACCTGGTGTACGCTGATATGCATTCAAAACCACTAGTTACATATTATAAATTAAGCATGCATATTCCTCAAATCTTCCTTTCATAATGCTCTCTCGCGCATTTAAAAATAATTTCACAACAATTTAAATATTTGTGTTTGCGCAAGACATAATGCGTTGCTCTCGTGCACGATATTTTAGTTGTATTATTTCTTATGGCAACCATAAAGGTTTGTTCAAACAAACAGACAAAGGTAGAAATGCCGGTGGAACGGAAAGAAAACGAATTCGACGCGCTGAAATAATATTAAAATGTGTCCTATATATTCTTTATAAATCGGCGTTACGAAATACCGTTTACTTTGTTCTATTATTGTTTTCAATGGAGTTACGATCGCGTAGTGGGCTTTACGAGGAAAATTTCAAAACAAACTTCATTTCTGTTATTTACAATATGTTATAAAAGAGCGGTATAAATCATCAGGAAGTTTAAAGAAACCAGGTTTGTGGCGATTTCGCCAAAAATTCAAATACCTTCCTACCTCATAAATTTATTACACCATTGAACAATAAAGAATTAGCAAAAAGTTACCATAATATTATTCCTTGCAGGCGATATAGGTAATTTTGATCGACAGACATATTAATACATAAATCACTCTAACCCAGAAAATTTCCGGTGCGCTGTAAATATTTACACTAACTATCCCATAACGTTTTACTATATTTATCTAGATTTCGACTCTAAATTTACGAGCTTTTTAAATGCAATTTGCATTATTTAGTTTTCATTGCCCACATACTTTTCGTTATTTACCTCCGAAATAATAATATACAAGCCCTAATAAAAACGGAATTTTGCTGCAATAAATAATTATCAAGTCACAGAAATGATTGACATTTATTGTGCCCTTATTAATAAAACATGTTACCTATTTGTCGTTTATGGAGTAATAAACAGTAAACAACAACAAAACATGCGAACAAATCAGTAATCTTGCACTTGCGAGCATTCTTTACTTGACCATGTAATTTTTTAATGAAAATAAACTCGAATTAATTGTTGGTGCTCGGCTTAGGCCACATACTGTATGATTAGATGAATGCATATAAAGTAATGAGTAATGGCTTATCGTTTGAGGAAATGCGCTTATGTCCAGATTCTAGTTCGATAGCGTCATTCAGTTTGTTTGTATACCAAATGCAAAGTGCACTATTTACTGAGTGACCAGAATCTAATTGAATTATTTTGTAAAAATATACCGAATTGTTTGGATTGTAATTTTATAATCAAATAAATATTAACAGGCAATTGAAAGGAATGTCTATGAACAATTTCGAATGCATTAATTTTGGTGTATGAAATGAATTATTGATCAAGGCTTGTTGGTCGTAGATTCTCGAACCACAAGTGAATAAAGATAAGCTTGTTGGAGTAACAATAACTTAGTGTAAACGAAGAAATAACGATATTAATGCAGCAGTAAATCTGTTGGTGACTAAGAATTTATGCTTCATTCGAAAATTGTTCGCTTAAAGAAATAGGATGAGTAATTTTTCATTTCGTATTCAACTATTCAACCATAAGAAATTCCCTAACCTTAGACGATGGTTGAGGTTACTAGAAGATTTTTCTTTATTTAAGGATTATAATACTAACGCATAAGGTATTTGCTCGTGTTTCTGGTAGTTCAGCAAAGAAAATTCACTCACGTCCATCGTGTGCAATTGATAGTAGAAAAACGTATCGTGTCCAGTAACTTACTTGAAATGCATGTACTCGACGAGCCTCACTTTCTCATGAAGGCTATTAATAAATTTAAATTTGTTTGTTCTAAACCGTCCGACGGATCATGGGGTCACGTTAAATTGGGTCGTAGGCCCCACTAGTCTTGTATAACTGGAATCGTAAATGCAGCGTTTGATGATCAATTCATCAATTTGTTCTTTGCGAAGAGTACAGGAGAAATTTCGACCATCGGTATCGGCTGTCTCGTAAATTTTCCATTAAACTTGCAAACTTTGAAGTTTGAATCAAAGCGAATTTCGCCTGCATGACCAACTTCGTATATACCCTGATGTCTTCATAAGTTATTTTCCTTCCGGTATCTCAAGTTTGTCGGTATATATTTTTAGTTTCCTCTAAAACCTGCTATTCAGTATGAGTATCCCATTAATAAACGTAGGTATCTACTTGTTTGTAACCTGTAATTCTAATCGAAAACAAACAACTTACTCCATCGTATACTCTCCAGCATTCTCTCCCACGCTATTCAATCGATAAATGCACATGTGTATTAATTTTTTATTCATGATGCTGTGGCATTAATACTGGCCAATCTGACCGGGTCAAAACTCGTTTTCTAAGCGTCAAACTGTCTAGGCGAAGAATTTACAGCTGTGGCCTATCAAAAACGCGTTATTAAGCAATTATCGGTTGTTCTCACCGTACGATACGAACATCAACGTAATTTAATAAATATGCTATTTGAGCCACCCTATAAATATTTACAATGCGAGCCAAAAAACTCGAATGAGAAAATTCCGTTATCTTAATAATTACAAATAAAATTTACTGCCTACAAGTGTAATAATTGTTTAATTATTTATCACATTACATATTAATGTCGTGAGTAATTGTAGATACTTAATTAATATTAATTATGTGGAGATAAATGAGCGACAAGACATGGGAATGAAAAATTCCGATCGACAGTTTATGATACTCAATTTTCCGTGGTTTAATATTTAATATGACCTCGAGATGATTGAATTGTTTGAAAATGATAGGTAATTTTTTTCCACCCGGCATGAGTTATTTCGGAATAAATTATATAAGACATTTCGAGTTTCCAAAATAAAATTAGGCGTTATTTATTCAACTCTGCCTTCTATTATAATTACGTCCCTAATGGCTACCCGAAATTATGGGGGCCCTTTCGATGATCTATGAACCTTAAATTACCCGAGAGGTTCGAGTCTTTGAGCAACATTCCGCCTAGTTTAACTTAATTCTACGTTTCATAAATTCATAAGGAATAATATGCATTTCTAATTACTAGGAACTTTGATATTACATTTTCAGTTGTGTGGTAGTATAATTTTTTATGATTGTAAAAAAATGATGGCGCTTTCTAAACAATATTATTAATGATTGGTGATTGGTTATTTTAAAATTTATAAGGTATCAATGCACTAATTCATTTGAGGTATACAAATTGTTAACCTTTGACATAGTAACCATAATTCATAACTGACTTTACTGTCGAAGCGTTCATCACCTCGACTTGTGAATGAATTGAAATACCTGTAAAATACCTATCGCTATGTCGATGCCCGTTAACGACCGCTTTTAATATTCAAAATGCTTTACTGCTTATATACAATGTGATTCATGAATTTTACTTACTTTTAGAATGCTGTTTAAAGTTTGTAATAAGTTTTAGGAACGCGAATAAAGGAACTTTGCTTACACTAGTATTTGAGTTCCTGCTATTAAGACCTAAGGTTTAAATTCTCGTGCTGAGTATTCGTAGCTAGTTGCAGGGAATTCAAATTTTCTCAGTTTCAGTAGATAAGTATATTTAGCAGAACTTCATAAACAAATATGGTTATTACAAGTTTCCTCATATTCGCAGTAATTATGCATTTAGCAGGTATCTGATGTGTATACTAACTTGAATATGCAGCTACTTAATACTTTATTAAGAAAAACAAATAAAACCCTGTAACACACACAATTTTGTTGAAAATTAAATTATTCGAATTAGAACTAGCAGATTTCCACACAGCACTCCTACTTAACCCGCTACTTTGGGTTACAAAAACGAAAAAACTAATACTTTTCGTACTAAACTCACTTCCCTTGCAACCGCAAGTATAATTGACCGAGTTTTCCACTCTTATCCTTACATTCCGATCCTCGAGGATTCCTGCGGGATTTCCATTCTTCTTCAAGAATCTATCTTCGCATCCACCCAAATCGGTCGGGTTGCAACTTAATTCGACGATGTCGCCTCTTTCCGCTGTTATAGTAACTTTGTTGTTAATTCTTGGTATCGTAAAGGTTTTCTCGTAATCGGCAACGCCTGGGATATCAACGGCATCTTGGCTGGTTTCTTGGTAATCGTAGTAATAACTATAATCCGCGCTTGCAGTAATCAAAACTGCAAATGGGATAAAAAATGTAAGCATCTTCGCTGGCATGTCGGATGGTGTATAAAGTACAGGAAAGAGTTAGCGCAGGGTTAGGTTAGGATAAACATCTTTATCTTTATGACCGATGAGATAAAACTGTAGCTTAATCTAAAAGGAGCAATTTGCATGCGTATGTTTACATATTGATTTCTAGGTATGTAAATTTTTAAAACAAATAGATCTTATGATACTGTTAACATCGTCAAGGGCATTTTCTCATTAGGAGATTAAAAAAATAGGTACCTAATAATTAAAAGTTTTTAATTTGTAATACGGTATCTTTTAGTATTAATTATAAAATACTTACTCGCCTTTAATATCTCATTAACGTTATAATTTTACTTTAATGAATTAATTTACGGATTCTCTGAAAATCGGAACGTGAAGGAATCCTACAAAGCAAAACTCAGCGATCGTGATTATTTTTTGAATAGGCGTAATTTTAACGTAACGGATATAAAAGAAAGCGAATCAAAAATTGGGGAACATAAACATTTTTAGTAGGTAATTGATTCAACTAAACATACGTTTTTTGTACGATGCAAAACATCATAAAATCTATGCTAATGGGTTTTTTGCGATGTTCTAATTTCGAATTATATTTATAGCAAATCATGTAAGCATACCTATTCCTGTATATTATTTTATTATTTCATGCATGAAAATAAAATTACATTCTTTCCTTCAAAATATTACACCACATTTGCTGCTTGTTGTTTCTGATTGTGATATTTTTATTTTCATGTATTCCTTCTTCTGTCCCTCGCAGTATTTTTATTAATTCAGACGTTAGACTAAATATTTATCTAATCGATCTGTATCCGATGAACGAAATCAATAATATAAGCTCTTCTTGAAACCGTTTCTATTGCAGGAAAGCCGAAGAGCACTTAACATTTTTTTCAGGTTATTCGCGTTATTATCCGCCGCGAGATTTGCATGAGACCTTGAGGAGAAGTTAATTCTCCAACAGGGACGTGCAAAAGTAACATCCATTTTACCACATAAATATCACCTTGTTTTTACTTTTTAATCAAAGTCAAACACACTTCTTTTCATTCCTTTTTGAGGACCTGTTTTGTAACGAAACTTCTGACTAAGAAAGTTTATGTGGAGATTAAAAAAGTTTGGCACATTATCAAAGCGCGACTCTGATTCGATCTTGGCAATGATCTCTTCTTTTCGCCAGGAGCCGCAGACAGACAGTGGGTTAGTCCGCCGATGTCGGGGTTTCGTCTCCACCGGGCGTTTTTCTCTTATTTTCGCCGACCATGAGACCTGAATAGACTCATTTGTAGCGCTTGCTCTCCGTTTGGCGGTGTACCTTCTAATTTAAACGTACTTAATCGCACCGCCCGCATTCGACTTTCCTCTAATTAAGCGGTTTGGTGTTCCGATTGTACGAAAAGAACCGTCTTTTTCACAGAAGGCATCTAAACAATCCAATCTCTAGGTTGAATTCTTAGAGAAAGAAGTATTTTAAAGCACCACCGAAATTCCAAATTCTATTAAGAATACCAGGAATGTCATTCGCGATAACGAAGATTACGTCAGGAAATAATGTGGTAAAATCGAATGGGTTTCTTATCTATTATAACACGAAGGAGGAAATTTTTGAAAATAGCTTCGTTTATATCACCATTAAAAACACTAATAGCGTTTATCGGAATTTCTGGTTTTAATGCAGTGTTTCCAGATTATTGAGCACAACAACCATTAAAATTATACTAAAGATATACTCCTCTTGCTATTATAAGAGTCATTTAAGAGTCGAAATGTTTCTGATAAGTGCAATTATTAACTGACCTTCTAAGAGACCTTACTGATTATAAATAAATTTGAACTATTTAATAGTTTATTTGAATCCTAAAGAATTATTAACTACTTTGTTAACAACAAAATTTATAGAAAAAATTCACCCTACGACTTGTGGAAAATTCTCTCACTCGTGGAAACAATTCAATGTTATAATGTCACCTTCAATTATTGTTGAAACATGATCCACTCCCTAACATCTGTTGAAATGCAATACGCCTTTGATTTCCTCATAACCAAATGTTTAAATTTCGTCGTTAAAAACCAAATCAGGTCATTGAAAAAGTGCATTTCGATATGTTCGCTTCGAAGCTTTGCTGGAGCCTTGTGCTCCTCACCTGCGCCATCGTTTGCTGGGCTCAAGATTCTTCGGTTTACTCCGACAAGATGGAAGAAATATCCGATCTGGACACGAGCAAATCGACGACGGACAACCATGTTTCGAACATGACCCTTAAATCGTTGTTGGAGATGAAGATCCCCTCGATGATAGCCGCAGACTTGGAGTCCACTTTCGTACAAGGCGGAAAGGCTGTTATAAAGGACATCGACAAGGCGCTGAGGTCTTCGAGTGATGGAAAATCGGTGGTCACCTTGTTGTATTTAACGTGCTCCATCGTTTTTTATTTGATCTAATTGATAGATAAATAAAACGTTTAGAATTGAATGTGAATTTTGTAATCGACGATAGTAGTTTTCAAAGGACCCTTTTATCGCAGTGAGTATAGTTAAATCGTTCGAATGGAAAATAAAATCGGTATCCCTCGATAAATCCTCGATTTTTCCAACCACTCTAGCAATTTCGATAGGGTTTCGACAACTTCATTCATTGATAAGCAGGGGTTTACGCCCTCGATTCACGCATCCCATCCTTATCAAATCGATATTCATACATTCAACAAATTTATATCCAAACGTTTGAACACATTCGAAGATGATATTAACGATGATAAAATTCTTTTCAACAACTAATCCTACTGTCTAGTCTATTTCCAGTTGTAACAGCAGCAATTCAATAGTAACATACGTTACAATTCCACTCCAAACGGCCATCTATTCACCCTCTGTCCAGCTCAACTGGTCGTTCCTGCTGCGCTGTTCGCTGTTCTTTCCGTGGAATATTTATCATTGACGTCGGGTGTACCCCGAAACATGATTTATATGTTTACGGGGGCTCGATGTATCGCCAACACGCCTCCGCGTGCTAGTAAATTTCGGCCCTTTTGCGGTACGTTACTGAAGCAACGTTATTTGTCAACGCGGCTGAGCCATTCGAGGATTCGGAGGATTTCGGGTGTTAACTGTTTATTTGTCTTTCTGATGGGTGTCTGATGGAAATATTTCTTTTCCATCTCGAATTTTGTCAGGTTGCAGTGGGTTAGAATCAAAATTGTGCACATGGTTTTTTACTACGCATTTTAGGGGTGATTGGGGCACAATTATTCTTGCATTAAATGAAGGTTTTTAAGTGGTTCGAGTTAGGTAACACTCCCCCTATATACTTTATAAAAAAAAATAAAGACAGATGTCTCTACTATTTTTATAGCATGTTCGACGTGGAGTGTTTCGAAATTTTTCGTGGAGTTTTACATTTATCTGAATAAAAGCGCGGCATCTTTGATTCGTTTTAGTGCCTCGATGTTACGACGGAGATAAGATTGGGTTTTCGGGATGTACGCTGATGCGTTTTGAAGATTCTACAAATTAATTATTATTCATACTAAAAATAGGGCCCATTTATTACTAAAAACTGGTTTTATTTTTTATAACTCGAGGTATAATTTCGTTTTCACATAGGCACTAATGGAGGATTAGGAACAGAAAATTTATTTGAACGCAATTATAGATGAATTTATTGCTCATATTGAAGGTATGCGTATATAAAACATTTAAGTATATGTCCTCATTTTGATAATGATTGTTTACAATATCATTTATTCCATAAATTGTAACGAGATATTCATCCTAAACGATCATTATTTGTATGTACCCGATACATTTTTCGGTCTACTTTCCGAACAATCAATACTTCTATTAATAACGATGTTTATATCGACGATAGAAGCAATTAAAGCACCGAGAACAACTGAGGGGTGACGGGTGACACCTTTTAAAACGAAAGGGTGTGTAAGTAAGTGAACGTCGTTGTTATACATATAGGTCGTTAAAACCCGATACAAAATTCGATCTAAATGGCTCCTGATGGTTTCAGAAAGAGGAAATAATTGCCTTCCGGTGCGCTGTGTGGCCGTAAAATAAAAATTTCGGAGTTAGTACACGTTGTTCCTCAATCGTGCCCGGCCACCTTGACGAACTTCCGCGGTAGTGGCTACGCAACCGTTTCACAAACTTCTAATGTTCATAGAAAACTCTTGTTTTCACCACTAATAAATGCCTATAGAATGTTATTTTTTTACCCATTTCCAACTAATTTCTAATATCTTTGCTTGCCAAGCGCCAAATACAAGCTTAGATAGACGTTTGTTAACAATTCGTTGGTGTAATTGTAACCACAACGGTTGTTGGGTGGAACCAGTCTGCGAAAAGGAATGAAGGGAAAGTCGCCAGTGCGGCTCATCTGTCACCTGCAAGGGGGAAGGTTTATTGAGGAAATGTACCAGCTCCCCCACATCTAATTTGGAAACTTTCGGTACGAAAGCGTGCCTTCCGACGTTCCTATTCAATTAGATAATTTTTATGGGTTTGTTTTGATGACGGACGGCTCTTTTTTCACGAATAAAGCGGATAAAGGGAGTTTTTTCTTATTAGTTGACGAAGAAATGTCTGTTCTCACAAATAATAGAAGATATTCCGTCCAGTCATCGTCTCGTTATTGAATGTACCGCGCAGTAATAATACAATGGAGGTTTTTATTGTGGCATAACTGCACGTAATGATTCGAAAATCCTTATATAAAATGATTGTAAATTCTAGCGCTGGTGGAAAATGAGCAAAATAGAGTCATTAATTTTATTGACTAAGAAAAAGAAAACCATTTGCGGCCGATAAATAGGAATATTAACCCCACGTTATACCATGTTATTGCATAATTATTAATAGTAATTAGTTAAAGACAAGTTTATTCAATAAAAAGAAGTATGAATGACTGTACTTTATTACCAACAGGTGTTCGATTTCAATGCTAATTACGCTTGGAATTCATTGTCAAGAAATATTTTCTAATTGGAACCTAAAAAAGAACATGTTCCACTAAGAAGTAAATAGAAATTTAATACCGATATTATTAGCAGAGATTTTAATACTCAATTTTCTTAATGATTTATTGTATTATTATAAATCCTTGTTATGGTAAAATTTACTATTCCTTTTTAATAATAAATACTGTAGGATAAAAAAATTACACGGCATTCAAACGCTTTACAACAAACCCATGCATCCGGCATTATAATCCTCTTTACTATTCTTCTGTAATTGCTGTTGGACGATTCTTCTTCTTCGTGTTCTTCGTTTTACCCGTATTGTACGAGAACGCACCTTTCGTTGGGTGCTCTCGGATTTCTGTTCAATTGTTCCAGGCATTACAGCCTCGCAGATGTTTGTTATGAACTATTTTCGGATACAACTAATTGTATATGTATGTATAGCCCAAACAAAACTTACTAACTGGTGTTTTTACAAAACATAGGTTATTTTAAAAGCCAATAAAGTTGGATTTTAGGAGATAATTTAAAAAGTACTGTCCTGTGTGATACGATGCATCCCTCAGGTAATTACTACTTTAAATACAACAGCTGATTTTAGTGGTCGTTTTGCGTTTGTAGCAGTAACAGATAATGGACCATATGCTAACATAGCACCTTTCGTTTCCCTCACGATTTACCCATAATATTAAATTTTGAGTATATACACTTCAAGCTTGAAGGTCGTTTATGTTCTCTTTATATTTTATATTAACAACCATAGATATAGGCATGCGTTAAATGGAGTTGAATTAAATTTGGTACGACCCTGGTAAAGTGCAAAAATTCGATTCAGGTAGAAGGAGCGGATATTTCGAGAACAAGTCACCGTTCGACGTGCAAAGACCACCTTGAAACGAAAACTGAATAAATCTGAAAGGCACACGCGACCGAACAAAATCAACAAAATCCTTTTCTTCTGCTCCAAAGGGTCGGAAACTTCGATAAACGAGAATTCGAATTTTGCGTTCGGAATATCGAAGTGGAGCACCGCTATTTTTAGGAGACTTTTTTTTTATTTCTAGGGTCTTAAAAGAAACCCACTTTGTATATACATTTTATAAATTTCATTAGATAGCTTCATGCGTTATAAAAATAAAAATTTCGTTAATATGATATTTAAAGATCAGCCGGAAAAGCGGCTGCCAATAAAATTTCGCAAATACCACATTATAGAGGAGAAGGCGATATTTATTAATTTCCAGAAGCTCACATAATGCCGCAGAATTTCTGCTCGACCACGCCATCTGGGACGATTTATTTCCAGCCATATGTTGAGAAATTAGTTCAGTGGAATTGAAGGATAAATAAAAGGCCTTTCCAACGATTCCACGCATATTTTATGCAGCTTTCAATGAGCGTTTTTACATGAAATGTATATCAATTTACAGGGCGATACACTCTAATGAAATATTTATATTCACTTTCTCAATTGCAGCACAAATTTTATTGTACCATATATTCTACCAGACAACCAAAACAAATTATCTAATAAGTAATTTGTTGTTAAAAATACCGATTCTTATATGTATACACAAACTTTTTACAACAATTTTTTTTGTACATAATATAGCCCTGTAGATTCACGTATTTTTGCTGCAGTTTCAGTAGTCACAAATACGGGTTTTTACATAAAATGCACGCATATGCTGCAGCGAAAACAAACACATATCTATTCCTTCTGCTAACACAAACAAAAGTGTTTTAAAATTCTGTGCCATCACTTTCACACTAACTAGAGGTCTTATTGATTGAATGCTAATTACCAATTAACGGAAAAAAATTAAACAAACATCGGGAATAACGTGCAAATGGGTTCGAAATTTATTAGATAATTTACTGACAGTAAAAAGTACGGGTAAAATAAACATTTTATTTTGTAGGAGCTATGAGAATGTCCTGGTAAAAACGTGACGTGAAAATGTATGGTTTCTTTTTTAAGGAGAGAATATTGGAATTTAAATAATCCTGTTATAAAAAAATCTTGTGTACAATATTATTAATATTTCCATACATACAATAAACGTTGTAAATACACGCTAACATATTCGGAATATAAATGCTCAACGAAAATATAATAGTCTTCTTCGAAAATAAATAGTCTCACATCCATATTATTTGCTCTCATATTACGAGAGTAGGTATTATTGTAATTCATGTTTTTACATTAACGAGCCTCTAAAACCGAATATATTACCATCATAAAGGGCGTTTGTATGAAAATAGATGCGCAAAATTACATTATGTACCTACAAAAAATTTTACTATACCTACATTACCTGTAACGTGGTAATAAACTGATGCGTACACTAAATAAAGGCATCGATTAAAACTATTCCAACCCTTAAAACTATTTCTTGAAAATTGTAAATTCCTTCGAGTTACCCAACATATTACATCTATTAGGTGATATTTTCAGCTAGCTCGTAACATTCCTCTTAGCGAAAGATAGCCATAGACTCCTTAT